ACGAATATTGGAACAAATGCCACATCTGCAAACAATAAAAGCCAGTCATCACAATTTTCATGACTTCTTTCTCTTCCATTTGAACTCTCAAGATGCAGTTTGGATTTGCGTTGAATCGCTTTGATTTTTGACTATATAAGTCGCTGTGAGAATGGGAGAAAGTAAATTATAAATCATTTTTCGCAGTTTCAGTTCTGTTTCTTTCATTGACTCGACGAGAAAAAAAATCCATTGAATTTGCGAAAATGAAACCGTTTGAATTCTTCCTTGTCCATCTTCGCTGTAATAGTAAAACCGTTCACTAGACAACACCCATGCTGTGTGTTTAATTGTTTTACTCTTGCGAATAGATTATGCTATTGCTTGTTCACTATCATGCGCGAGAAAAGGCAACCAAAACACACGAAACTTGTGCGCACAAATAAAACATGCATCGAGATCGGCAATACATTGTATGCTACTGTGTGTGTTGGTTGCTGTACCCAGAAAAATGCGAAGGGAACCAAAAACACGAGGCGCTGTAATTAAATTTCGGTCCAAACACGATGGAATTGGTGGGCTGGTTTCATAATAATCCAAGTCGCAACGATTAGATGGGAATTTATTATTTTTCAATCGGTTTGCTAATGTCGTTGAGGCGCCACGCAAAACAACACGGCACAATATATACCGTTCCATACACGGTTCGCTCTTCTAGCTCTTTGACTTTGACCCGTTCTGCAGATGTTGTACACCGAAGAAATTATGAAATCATCCATTCTTTATCTGATTTCATTTTTTTCTTGTTATGTTCGTCTGTTCGCTTTACATCTCAAGCGACCGATTGGTCGTGACTATGTTTTCACATGCCACTCTTTACCGCCTCAATTTTATCATTAGCGTATGCCGTATGTACCAGTGCCGTCTTAGCACTTCCGGGGGCCCTGAAGCAAAAAATTTCCGGGGCCCTAAATTTTTTTCTCAATGTCACAAAATTCAATATTTTGAATGTTGCACCAATTTCGATTGAATTCAAACAGATGAATTCAGAGTTATTAAACTATGCCGTTTTTCATTTATGTTTTGATTACTGCTCAATACTGCTGGACATGAACGCTCTTATTCATACGAATGTATATGTGACTCAACATCCAATTCGAATTGACAAACGAAACCTATCGTTATCTCTATTCTCCCTCTATGTTTAATTGCATTCGTCTGGAAGAGTCAACCATACTTAACAATAAAGAATTTCGCTCAAACGATCGATAAACTGTTTATATTTTGATATGTAAATAATTATACCACTGACCATTCTATTAAAAAGTGAGCCACACTACTTACATTCAAAAAGTAAGACAGAAACAACAAATAAGGCGAAATATATGTATGTATATGACTTTTTTCGTCTTGCAGTTGAAATTCTTTGATTACTCATTCTTACAAGGGGGAAATCACTCAAAAGTAATACCAAATAGAAAAGTAATACCCCTGTTATTTCTAGTAATACCTCTGGTATTGCTTTTGATATTTCAACGAAAAAAGTAATACCGAAAAAAAGTAATATCCAAGTAATACCAAGTAATACTGATCAATAGAAGTAATACACCTGGTATTACTTTTGATTTGTACGGAAAGTAATACCAAGTAATACCATTTATGTAAAAGTAATACCTAAGAGTGATTTGCCCCTCGCATTCTTATTTGATATTCAATCATTTCTGCTCAGTGGTTGAATGTGAAATTTTGAATAATTTGGACTTCGATGAAATAATTGATGATTTTATTTACGCTAAAAATAGGGCCAAAGCCATTTCCACGGCGTCAACGTCACGCGCATCATCTGTTTTGTAGACAGCAAACAAACTACGAAGATTGAAATAAATTTGAGAATTTTTATATTTTTTGTGTGTTTTTTCTAATTTTCTTTGATAAGATTTTCTCTTAATATTTCAAGGGCCTTTTCAGCAGCTCTGGGCCCCTGAAATTGCGGGGCCCTGAAGCAGCTGCTTCATTCGCTTCCAGGCTAAGACGGCACTGGTATGTACACAACTAAAATAGATAATTCACTTATTATAAAAAGGTCGCACAACAATTTAATCAATTTAAGATTGACTTCAGTTTTTTTGCCGCTGCACCAATCGCCCACTTTCCATTTGTATCATTCCATTATGATGTTAAACCAAGAGAGGGAAAAAATAGGCATTTGTTGTAAAATCATGATGAATATTAATATTGTGAATATTTTTATCGTAACATCGTAATGCAAACGACGGGAGCAATCAAACTTTTGTTTGGATCTCGGAATTCTCTCATTGGTGGATGTCGATTTCGATTTCGATTTCGCAAGGGATTCAATTCTTCGCAAAGCGAATGTCCAATTTGCTTTTCTTTTGGGTTTGGCAAAAAGAAAATCGGTTTGAATGAAGCAATTCGAAATGGAGTCACAATGATTATTCAAATGGAAACAAGTTTAGTGAAAAAAAAACGTTGTTACCATTGCAATGGTGATCGGTGAAAATTCCAATATTGTGTTAGAATAATGGCCTTTCAAACAGGATATAATGAAAATGAACCTTATTTCCAATCAACAATTACTTCATTGTCTTTGTTGTGCCACAGCAATACTAGCGATGTGCTCGTACGCTTAACGCGTTCATCTTGAACGGAAGAAATGGTGACAATTGTACCCAATCGATCGACCATAAATGAAAAAGTGGACGCATTTGCGCGCAACAATGAAATAAGACATCAACAAACAAAAAACTTAAACGTCCAGTGTCGCATTTGTTAATGTTGGTCATTTTAATGACGAGCCAAAGCAATCAACAACTATGATGAGCTGTGAAAAATCTCTCAAATTGGTCAATGGAACGAGTCTCGCTGAATTTCGGTTTCATTCGACTAATTGCAAACAATTAAACTTTTTGTGAATCTATAAATGCGTATTCGGCCACTTGACTGACCTTCATTTTGCGTTGGTTGTTATGGTTCAGCGACGAATCTTCTAAACCCATTATACCGTTGATTGAAATGCGTAACTGGGTCGACTAGTTGCGAATTAACAAGTTTATAAAATTGACAGCGCAAGCCAACAAAAAAACGCACCAAAATGCACGAACTCTTTTTTACATTCGTTGATATTTTTCCCTGTGGCAAGAGATTTCGCGAAGACTTGCTTTGATCATTCGTACACATCGTTTGATTTGATGACATACACAATGGGGCACCTTTATAACTTGACACTTGTTTTTCACTCACACATTCCAGAAGCACCATAAATTTGAGTCTAACTGATAAGGCTAGCTTCTGGTCATAATTTAAACGGAGTTTGGCACCGTGAATAAGCCACCAGAAGCACACCGGTGACAATGTATTCAATTATTCGCATTGCACACCGAATTGATTCATATTTATGCCATTGCACACACTTTACGTTCGTGTCTCGACGCAAAGGCGATAACGTCCGACAAGTACACACAGAATGTGTAAAGTGCTATGTAATTGTTGTGTTTTTTTCCATTCGTATTCACTTTCGTACGTGTCGTTTTGAATGAGAAGGCGAGATCTGGCGATGATGATGATGATATTTCGATGCTGTGCATATGTTCATATGTGTAAATATTTTGGAATGTTTAAGCGTTGTAACCGTTCACTTTTTGCATAGCTTTAAAATGGAAAAGCGATCGGTTTATGAATTGAACAGCCATATTTCCCAAAGCATATCTTCTTCACTTTCCTCCATAAACCTGTTTCATAAGCCACTACTTTTTCCGCTGCGCTATTCTTTGCCATTACGCGGTTAAATTGTTGAAATTACATTTTATGTGCCATTTCATTTTCGTACACACACAAACGGCGACGATGGCCGAATATGCCTGTGCGTTTTCAGAAACGAACGGAACGGAACAAAGTCTTCGACCCATTCGCGCCGTCTTCATCATTTTATTCTTGCAATGAAAGTAGTTTTTAACATCGACAAAGAAATGTTCGCACAAAGATGCAATTCAAATTGTTCAAACATTGCATTCTCTGTCGTCAACAAACGACCAAGACCAAAATCATTTCGTTTTCATCTCGTATTTCTGTTTTTTTTGCCTTCGTTTTACAAGCGACTGCTCACGATGTTGAAAAATTATTTCCGCGCTTTCAACTCGATATGTGCACGCTGCACATACACGCTCCCGCCGTCCTCTGGGGTCTTTTAGCTAAATCTTAGGTGGCACATTCATCGATTACATAAAAAGTAAACATTCGCCTCACAATCATTTTTCGAGTGAGTTTTTTTCCTTCTTTCTTTCGAATCCATAAAAAAGAATTTCCATTCGCACATCGTAACGCCGCTGCACTCCGACTCTGTGTCGGTGAACCATTGAATGCCATCTAAGATTATTAAGAAATTATTATGGGCACTTTATCTTTCGTTTGAACTTTGTGTGCAAAAAGAAAGCTGCTTTAATTCAATGGACTGATACCAATTGTTCTCTTTGTGCACACTGAATCGACTGTGTTCTGTGAGACAATAGTTGGCGGAGAGCAACTAGATTGAATCGGTTTATTCGAATAAGTAGATTATTTGGTTTATTCGGTCGTAGTTTTCAGTTTTGCAACGAACTTCAGAAGCCATTGACATTTCACAACATCCGAGACACACTCCGCTTTTGCCTCTTTTATCATAAATAAATATTAGTTAGATATTCAAATGGGCTCAATCTCCCGCGCCAGAATGATGCCTCACAATCAAATGGCACATTTTTGTCTTTTATTATTTTCTAATTTACGTGATATCTGCTAATAACAGTAAATACCAGTATGTTTGTAGTTTGTAATGGATTCATTTTTACAAAGCTTGCGCACACCTATTGTTATCACTTCTTGATAGGTGGTCATATATAATAATCCGTTTTTGTGCTTTGAATCCAACTCGATTCCTATTTTGTCCAACACTTGTGATAAACAGTTGGATTCAAATTGGTGATAAGAAAAATGATAATGGATTTCTGAACAAGAACGGTGTCATCAGTCATTAAAAACTTCTCAAGGCGAACAGATTAGTTCTGACGAGTTTCGACAATTGATGGAAATATTTTGGCTTTTTTTAGTGGAAAAGATTAAGGGTTTTTCGTTTAGGATTTTTTTTTGATTCAATTTGAATCAGCATCACAAAATGAATACCAGTGCAACGTTCGAAGGAGCAGCATATTTTACTGCCCTAGATTACAGCGTATTCATTGTACTTTTATTATGTTCTTTGGCAATTGGAATCTATTTTGGGTTTTTCTCGAAAGAACTCAACACTGCAGAAGATTATCTGGTTGGCGGTCATAACATGAAAGTTTTTCCAATTGCTGTATCGCTTATGGCCAGGTATGTTTTATTCTTGATTTATTGATTGATGGCTGCACTGCAAATGAAATGTTTGCAATATTCAAAAGGTCAAAATCAAATTCAATAGTTACATTTCTTCTTTTTTTAGTCAACTTTCAGCCATAGCAATAATTTCGATACCAGCTGAGATATATTCCTTTGGATGGCAGTACATGCTCATTTTGCCAGCTTTGTTCTTCGTCACAATCGTAACAAATTACGTCAGTTTGCCTGTTTTTTATTGCAACAACATTGAAAATTGTTATGCGGTGAGCCGAACAAAAATGTTCATTTTTAATTTTGGAATTGAAAGGTTTTTCGGAGAGTCAAAAATCCTGTCATCAATTCACAAAAAATGATTTATTTTCAGTACTTGGAAATGAGATTCGGAAAAATAACTCGAAAACTGCTGACGATACTATATATTGCTCTGAGTCTTTTCTTTTTACCATTGATCATGTACATTCCTGCTCTGGCATTCGTCGAAGGTGAGATCTCTACCTCTTTTTTAATTTCTTAAAAATATTTTAATATTTTTTAATATTCAATAAATTTTCAGTAACGAAGCACAACATTCAAACGGTTAATATAATCGTCTCATACATTTGCGTCATTTACACATTGCTTGGTGGAATAAAAGCCGTCGTTTGGACTGATGTATGAACATTTTCAACATTCGAGTTTTTTATTTTATTAATTTTTTTTTTCAAATTCACTCTTAGGTACTGCAAGCTTCCGTCATGGTCTCGTCAGTTGTGCTAGTTGCTATTCTTGGTGTTTATAAAACGGGTGGTTTGGGTGAAGTTTGGAACCGTGCTGTTGAGGGTGGTCGTATATTTCCGCCCGAGTAAGTACAGTAATTTTTACATAATTTATTGATATTTTACGATCAAAACCAGACAGTCCATAATGATTTTAATGAACATCTGTCTTTCGGTGGAAAAACCATTCTTCAGTATGTCATTGTCCTTAACAAAGAGAATAACATTTTGGAATTCAATTATTCCTGCACTTCTGATGTGGACCTGTCATGTGAGCTTCCATCAAAACTGTGCACAACGTTTGGTATCGTTGCCAACATTGCAGAAAGCGAAACAGTACGTAATTTCCGTTCAAGTCCGACTAATTGACCAACTCATTTGATACAATTTCATTGCACTTATTGCAATTTCGTAGGTCGATGATTATATTTTTCATTGGTGTTGTATTCATTATGGGTTTCAATTGTGCCACTGGATTGATTATGTATTCATTCTATTATGGTTGCGATCCCGTGAAGGCGCATATAGTGACCAAATATGATAAGCTGATGCCTAGATTTGTTGAAGATGTTGCGGGCCATATACCTGGAATGCCTGGTATTTTTATTAGCTGCGTCTTTAGTGCATCTCTTAGTTCTGTGTCAGCTGGGCTGCATGCAGTTTCCGGTGTGATCTACGGTGATTATGTTCGACCACTTAAATTATTTGCACATACCGATGCCAATGCAAATCTCGCGATGAGAATTCTCATTTTCTTGCTGGGAAGTGTTTGTGCATTTGGTGGTGTGATTGTCGAACGGTTTCAGTCGATGTTTCAGATTATGAACACGGTTGCTGGTACGGCGACTGGTGCTAAATTCGGTGTATTTACCATTGGCATGCTGTACCCTTGGGTAAGGCTAACTTAAGAATTTATTTGAACCAAAATTGAATGCGATCGCGTCTGCCTTTTCATTAGGCCAATCAAAAGGGTGTCATTTCTGGTATCATCATCAGTGTGGCCGTTGTTGCAATGATAATCATAAACACACAATACCACATTGCCCAAGGAAAATTGAAGTATAATGTGATACCAACGTCAATCGATAAATGTAGCAACGAAACCCTCTCCCACATTCCCCATTCGTACGTATTTTGGACATTTTAATGAGTGAGCTGTGACTAATATAATTTTTGTTTTATCGTTTTTCTTCACTTTTCTCGATTTTCATCCAAATTTTTCTTTTTTAATCTTCTATCAAACAATTTTTTCACTCATTTCTTCATTTTTTCCAAAACAAACCCACTTAGGGCTTTGACACCGCCAAATATTGAATCAGACGATAGTTTTGCCTTTTACAAAATTTCGTTTCAATGGTATTCTTTGATTGGCACTGTTATGTTTTGGATTCCCGCTGTAATTGTATCGCATTTAACTGGTGGTCAAGACCTCAGCAAATTCAATATAAAACTGCTGTCGCCATTCATTCAAAAGATGTTACCAATGAAATATCGCCATACTGAGCTGACAACAATCGAAAAGAAGATGTCAAATTTGGACAGAGAAGCCAACGGAGAAGCGCTAAAACAAGAAATGACTGAATTAATTACACAAAATAACAGAAAAGTAACGCTATAAATTCAGCGACGTAGTTTACACATTTTCCCTAGAATTATTGTTAAGTACAAAGTGTAGTCATATAAAATTTTATTAAAATTCCAAGAAAATGCTTGTTTGATTTCCAAATGCAAATAAGAAACTAGGTTTGAGCAGTTTTAGGTGGCTAATGACGTCATCACTATCTACACATAATTTTGATAAGAATTTGTCTTTGTGCGCTCGTTTGAATAACTGGTGCACGAATTTGTGGATTTGAATTCAAATGCAGATAAACCACCATTTCTCTCATTCACGTCTAAAATGTATCACCACACTGGTAGAAAGTAGTCGCAAACTAAAAATAGCATATGCATCAAATACCATCATAAAATTGAATTATCTTTTTTAATCAGGTATTGTTTTGTCTTGCTTTATTTATCGTTTAAACTCGCGCAGGTTATTATGATGGGTTCAATAAAAATTAATCGGAGGACAAGATAACAATCGCATCAGGCAAAGTGCAAATGCAAAAAATATAATCAAATGTTATACGAAATGCGTAAAACATTTTGAAATTAATAACAATTTGTTTTGCAAAACTGCAAACGCAACATTCATTCATCAGAATGAGATGGCACTTTTTGAAAAGTTGTATACTAACAAAGATGAATTTATCTCATCGCTTTTTATATACCTGCTTCTTATCTATTTGCACCGTAGTAAATTGTGAATCCAGACAATTTTATGGTGTTAACACGGTTTTATTGGAATGTTTCCCACATGTTTACCGGGTAAATAAGTATTTCCCTTTAATTGCAATTATCGTTCAGATTTAGTTATTGAAAGAAACTTGCTACAGAATAGGCATTCGTTCTGCAAAATCAGTTCATTATCATCAAAAGTACAAATCACATTTCTAAGAATCCTTCAAGAGGGATAAAATTATCAAATCTTCCTTTTCGGACTTGTTCAACTATTCCATATGAACTCAAGTGAAACAATGTCTGCAGTGTCTTATTTCACTGCCGTTGATTATGGTGTGCTCGGTGTTATATTGTCATTTTCGCTGGCCATCGGTATCTATTTTGGGTTTTTTAGCGACAACTTGAGGACTGTGGAAGATTACTTGGTTGGAGGTCATAAAATGAAAGTCATACCAATCGCTATATCGCTAGTGGCAAGGTAGATACATGTCAGCACGTTAAGTAATTAATGAAAATGAATTATTTCCCATGTCAATTTCAGTCAACTCTCAGCCATTTCAATTGTGGCGATTCCAGCTGAGGTGTACTCCTTCGGATGGCAATATTTTTTGATTGTGCCAACGTTAGTTTTCATTGTCATTGCTGTCAATTATCTATTTCTACCCGTGTTTTACCATAATAATATCGATAATTGCTATTTCGTAAGTGTTTCTCTGAAGATTGATTTGTATTTCGATTTTCGTTTGCAATGAAGTAGGCGCTTTGATTACCAAAAAATTGACAATCGATTATTTTGAATATTATGTCTGGTCAAAATCAAAAGATAATCACTTTTACTGATAATTTTTTTCACAATAACAATTGATTAAAATCCTAATAAAACGTGCCTGTATCAATTTTGGTGATTAGGCGTTGACCGATATGCCAATGGCAAATTGGGTATTCCAATTGGGTTGTTTTTTTGGGGGGAAGTTGCAATTTTACCATGGGAAACTAGCTTAAAAGTTATGGTTGGGCCCAGAAAGAAAGAATATACCTTATACATTGATTATGGATGACGATAACACGTCCCGAAATCATTAGGCGGCTGAAAATCCAAATTTTGGTACATTTTTGGCATTTTACAACTTTTTCTTTGCCTTTATTGTATGTTCCAATATATTTTTTGCTTTAGGATCAAAAAATCTAACACATACATGTATAACATGAAAATATAGTACTGAAGTGATTTTATAACGATTTCTGCTCATTTTTTATGAAAGAAATATGTTATTTTTCTCAAAATATCGATAATTTTGTATGGGAGGTACCCGTAAATCACTTCCGATTGACTTCAAACTTTTTGCTATTTCGAATTTTGGTGAAAAAATAAGATCATGAAAGTTTCATGCTGATCGCATTTGCACAAGTTTGGTTTTGGTCTAAACATTTTTTTGAAATTTCCTTGAACTTTCGCTTTGGTCGTGACATTTCAATGCAAATTCCCACAAAACCAGTGAACATATTTAGACCGTATAGCACTTAAATTCTTCGAATGATTTATATCCATGGGATTCAAGAAAGGAACTGATCAAATCAAATCGTTTTAAATCATTTGGAGCCCGTCAAAGTGTCCAAAAGTGGTCGAATTTCCGTATTTTTCACATCAAATTTGAACAAAAAGTACTGTAACTTTAGATAGAGGTGTGACAGCAACACATGCTATAGCTAAAATGAAAGGTATTAAAGTCCACTTTTATACCGTATCAAGAATCAATTTTCAGCCGCCCAATGATTTCGGGACGTGTTATTGTCATCCAAAATCAATATATAAGGTATATTCTTTCTTTCTGGGCCCAACCATAACTTTTAAGCTAGTTTCCCATGGTAAAATTGCAACTTGCCTACAAAAAAAACACCCCTAGTATTCCAACCAACAATGTGTAGAACAATGTGTGTTGTGCTCTCCATTTGCCATTTCAATTCATATCAAAATCTGTGAACTTACTTTCTGTTTTACTTCTTTTTTCGCAATTTATTGTGATCATGTCATGTGATTTGGAAATAGTACATCCAGAAACAAACTCTGAAAAAAAAATCAGAACTTCACGTTCGACGCAAGTTCCGTATTGTATCATCAAATCATAAAAGAAAAATGATTTTTTTACTCTGTTTTCAAAAACCATAACGAAATCCATCGATCATTAGGTTCCATAAAACAATCAAAATGTTTTATTCTCACATTTTATCCATTCCATCAGTTTGACTGTGTGTATTTCTCGCTCTCTCGCCGACTTTGTGTCAAGAGAATATGTTCCAAGCGAATGCAATACAATTTCATTCACATGAAATGTTATATAAATATAATAAAATCGCCATCACATCAGGGCCTATCTCACGCAATAAGAAAATGTGTGATCTGCATCTAATGCTAATTAAATGTGAGTTTACGGGTGAAAGACGAAGTGTTGTGCCTGAAAGTGGCTCGTGTGGCTGTGAGCGCAAATGTTGAAATTTTGCAAAAGAATTCGAAAGACAAGCGGTAATTATCGCTGCGAAAACCATAGAAAGTGTAACTGTGAACTCGTGGAGCACACCTCATTCTGTGGTCAAAACAAAACACACATAAATCACACACACACACGAACAAATCACTTGAGAATGTAAATGTTTTCGTGAAGTTTTCGACGGACCGAATGGATCTTTAAATGTGGCGTTAAACAGACATAAATAATGTTTCAAATGAAACGCCAATCATCGAATGACATAGGCATTACGCCTAATACTGCACGGTTTTTTAATCTTCATTTTTCAGTATTTAGAATTGCGGTTTGGTAAAAGCGTTCGAAAATTTGTCACGACCCTATTCATATTTCTCAATCTCTTCTTCCTACCGGTTATAATGTACATTCCATCTTTGGCGTTTGTTTAAGGTACATGGCACGCGGCGGTCATTCATTTTTTTCTCTGAAATAAATGACAATTTTTTTTGAATTTTTAGTGACAAAACACAATATCCATGTGGTGAACACGATCGTTTCATATGTTTGCGTCTTTTATACGATGCTGGGCGGAATTCAGGCCGTAGTTTGGACAGATGTAGGCTACTTCTTAGAAAATTTTTGTCCAGCATTTGAACCAATATTAAATCACTGTTTTTAACGAATTCAATCGAAGGTACTGCAAGCGGCGGTCATGATTTCATCGGTTGTAATTGTTGCTTTGCTTGGAATTTTGGAGGTTGGTGGCTTGCATGAAGTGTGGAACCGTGCTGTTGAAGGAGGCCGTATTTCTCCTCCTGAGTATTACAATCGTCACATTTTCTTAAGCTAGTTTTTGTCCAGTTTTGTCTAAATCATTTTAAATCACAACAGCTTCACCTTGGATTTGGTGACCCGAACCACATTTTGGAATACAACAAGCGGTATATTCTGCATTTGGCTCTGTCACATCGGCTTTAGTCAAAGTTGCGTTCAGCGTCTTGTATCTTTACCATCATTACGGGCCGCTAAACGGTCGATGATTCTCTTCTTTCTCGGCGTAGTTTTTATCATGACATTCAACTGTGGCACCGGAATTATCATGTATGCCTATTACTACGAATGTGATCCAGTTAAAGAACAAATTGTGACAAAATATGATAAACTGATGCCTCGCTTCGTTGAAGATGTAACTGGGCATATAACTGGGATGTCAGGTTTGTGAAACAAACATGAATTTCAGTTGAATGTTTTAATTTTGTTGAGAGGAATTTTTATATGAACGAAATCTTGTTCATTGGCAGGTGTTTTCATCTCCTGCGTATTCAGTGCTTCTTTGAGGTATGAAAAAAGTCCATTAAATGAGTGGAATTTAAATTAATTATTTTAATTTTTTCCATTATTCTTCTTTGAGCACGGTATCTGCTGCACTTCACTCGCTCTCTGGCGTTCTTTACAATGATTATATTTGTCCACGAAAATGGTTTGCACACACCGATGCAAATGCCAACTTGACTATGCGCCTCATCATCTTCACGATGGGAACATTTTGTGCTGTAGCCGGAGTCATTGTCGAAAATTTCCAGTCCATATTCCAGATGATAAATACGGTTGCAGGGATGAGCACGGGAGCGATTTTTGGAGCATTCACCTTGGGAATGTTGTACCCATGGGCCAATAAGAAGGTGAATTTTAAGCTCAAATAGAAAAAGACGTGTCATTCACGTTGAATACGGTCACAGCATTAAATCAAAATTCCGGTTCTTCTTTGCACCGATTAAACTTTTTGCTTTTGAAATTCAATAGGGTGCTCTATCGGGAATGATTATAAGTATGGCAATTCTGTGTTCGCTAATCGTCAATACGCAGTATGGAATTTCCCATGGAAAATTCCGCTACGGAATACTATCAACTAGGATTGATGGATGTAGCAATGAAACTATCGCTCGTTTCCAAAATTTGTGA